CTGAGGAATACTGTTATAAGGACCTAGATGGAGTGATGACTATGACTATTCATACTGATAGGATTATTTCATAAATACTGTGACAGAAAATTATAAAGAATTATTTGATATTATATTACCATTGGTAATAAGAAAAAAATCTGTAGTAACGTAACCATATAATATCTAAAGTCACTGGAATCCATGTATGTACAGTGTGGACATGAAAAATACACATCCTAATGAAAAAACATGGAACTCCAACATTAGAGGGCTTATAGAATAGAATAAACTTCCAGGTCCTTGTTTAGGTCACCTGGTGCCATGCTATCCAATGTGTAAATCCAATGGGTCCCCCTTTCGCACAGGCGTTTAATGCGCTCTGCTCTGGAAAGACACTTGGAAATGCACTCTATCACCCAGACAAATGGTCTGCAGAAGATTTGTGATGAAAATTCAGAAAATGTTTCGGAACACTTAATTTATCAATACCTTCCTCAACTGACCTCTTTATTAAGGTTCTAATGGTATGCCCCGTGTACATTAGGCTTTATGGACAGAAAAGACAGTATATAACGAACTTGGGAGAGCAGTTTGCTCGTGACGCATTTAAGTTTAGGGCATTGATACATCCCTTTGATGGTAAGGAAAGTGAGCATATGGTGTGTGGATCTTTTTGTAGATTTAATTTTGCTAGGGGCAAATTTTATATTCTGTGCCCTTCTGTAGGAGATTTTGGTACATCAGTTACGGAGGACTTCTAAAAGTATCTCAAAGAGGTCCTTTTGGGAGAAGAAAACCATACCCATTGAATGTGAGCATTAACCTGCATACCCACTTAATCCATATAGATGCCTTCAACACAAACACAATCCAAAAAGTAACTGCTGTCAGTTACCATTCCAGAATGAAGGCCCCCTAGGGGTCAAAAATGCATTATGAGCATTTTTTTATACAGTAGTCTTCACAGAAAAATGTTTAGCCATTTTAAAGAAAGCAATATTCACTAGATGAGAGTGTACATCTTCTCAAAAATCAATGTTTATATATTTATTTCTGTATAAGAATTTTTTTTGTAATCATTAACTGTCATACCTACTTCTATAGTTCCTCTTAACTGTTGGCCATTGCATGCCACCTAAAACAGTGACACTCCATTACAATTTCTGGCTAAAGAAATAAAACAGAATAATGTTTTAATACAATTTTTTTGTGGGACAGAAATGAGCTCTCAAAGTTGATCTGAATGGCACTGGTTGGAGGATTGAATTTTGATTTGATTCATGCATTTCTAGTCCGGAACAATTGTTCACTGATTATCCTATTGTTAGGAGCCTTAGACATGCTCCTACTCCAGCTTCTTTTTCATCCCTAGCCTGAGCATTGACAGTTCCTAGGAAATGGGTTCTGCACTGCCTGGTCAGTGGCAGGGGGCATCCTTGTTTTAGTGAGCGGCTCTACCCTGCCTGTTCCTTTTCATTCCTTTCTGATTGTTTGAGCATTAAAAACTCATGGATCTTGGCTTGTAAAAGGATTAGCTACATGGCCCTGCACCCTCAGCTTGACTGTTCTTTCCTTGTCATCTCTGGATTCTTTTAATGCTTTCCCAAATTCTTTACATCAAACATAACTTTGTTTTGATAATAATAAGAACGTAACAAGAACGTAACAATTTTCAATGTTTATAGTTTGAATATTAAACCCTTGATCACACAAATGTGTGGCTTCATAGATCTGGGCTTTTTTGGGGGCTGCATATTTGCATACCTGTCTTTGTGCTGGGATCACGCCGCACAGCACGCTCCCAGCACATAGATTGGGGTGTCATTGAGAGCCCAGGGTGCTGCTCTAACGATCGGGACCCGGGAATCCCGATTCCGGGTCACATCATCACTGTGATAGCCTCTGATTGGTTATCACAGTGATCAGTCACTGTGAAGCCTGCCCCCCTTGTTTTTTTTTTCTCTCGAATGGAGGAGAGAGATACATTGCATCTCTCCTCCTCCTCATGCATAGAAAAAAAAAACAACTATTTGTAAAAAAAAAAAAAAAGATAAATAAATATGGAAAAGTAAAGAAAAAATACCTAGATCAAGGTTTGATCTAGTTCACTGCCAGGGATAGTGTTTGGGTCAAGGGTCAAAGGTCATGGTCAAAGATCAGGATTTTTTTTAATTGTTATCAGTGTCAGTTAGTGTCAGTGTGTTTTAGGTAAAAAAAACGCTGCATTTGTCAAGAGCTGTAAAATTTATTTTGGGTTGTTTTTTGGTGGTAGGTTATGGTAGCAATAAGAAACACACAGCTTAAATAAAAAAAAATTTTTTTTACTATTTTGGACGAGTTTTCCTTTGATAAAAAAAAATCAGAAGATATCGATTACCATTCACCACCAAACAATAGCCCAATTTGTCCTGAAAAAAACAAGGTATAATCCACCTATAATCCACCGATGACATTTACGGATTTACTAACACATGTCAAAGTTGTAAAATTTTAGGCTTTAAGATTTGTTTTACCCTTATGCGTGAAGGGGTTAATACAGTTGATCAAATCAATGATCAGCAATAGATGAAATTGTAAAGAATAAAATATTCTTCAGTGGTAACTAGATTTGAAAGTAGGTTTCACAAAATTAGCTTTAATGGAAGTAAATAAGGTGGGTCTTTGATGTTCTTCATTAAAATGTGTTTGAAGCAATACGCACTGTAATGAATTCAAAGTACATCTGTGATTTATTTTTCAGATGGGTTGAAAGGAATTCAGACAGGGTCACATACATGTGAACGTGACACGTGTATTTATTACCACAAAAGTATATTGTTTTTGGTTTTTTAAAAGGATTTTTCTTACACAAAACATGTAAAAGGTGTTCGATATTTAAATCTGGCATTCTTTCAAAATATTTTTAAAGCTGTCAAAAAGGATAGAAATAACTATATATTAGAGTTTATGTTTTAATGACATCGGAAAAATAGAAAACGTATAGCCCAGTAATAGAAACTACCATGCATTTAAATCTTATGTTGCGGGTTAATGTGCACTATAGTAAACAAGCGCATTAATTTTGAATGGGCTGCCAATGCACCACAAATGACCTATTAAAGCATCCTCACCTCTTGTTTTTTTCCAATAAACCAGTGGTGTGGTGCACTAAACTCACATTGCTTTTAATGTATTGGGGACATGTAGGGGTGTCATTAAAAAAATTAATTGCATTGCAATTAACCAAGGTACATTAATTGCTGAGTTGTGGTAATGTGTGCATATGACCTTACTTTACCATAATGCAAATGATCCAGCCTCAAAATCATGGATCCAGACAAGCATACAGAACAGCAAAGTAAAAGCAAAGTTCAAGTAACTTTAGTCATAGCTACCAGTTTCTAAGTATTGCTATGTACCCCTTACTCATTCACATAGGGGACCTGATTTTTTTTTTATTTTTTTTGTGGGGTCCCCTTTGACTTCTATATCAGATTCTCATCGAGGATAAGGTTCTGCTATGTATTTTTAGGGGAACCCCATATTCTTTTTTTTTTATTCCTTTTTTGTGTGGTTCCCCATTAATATCCATAATCAAGGCCTAAAAAGGACTTTTGTGATTATTCAAATCACAGTGAATGCAAGTGGGATTACACTCCACTCTGCCTGGCCCCACAAACTGCGTTTACTGCAATGTATAGGCTGCAAAATATATCATTAAATAGCAATATATCTTTTTTTAGTTGCACACTGCAGTGGCAAACTATCTCCCTAAAAGCACAGTCAGATTTGCCTCAGTCTAACTGTACTCAACACACAGAAAAAAGCTGCTAGGATAACAGCTTTTTGTGAATGTGGTACCCAGGTATTTTTCCCATTTCGGCATAGAGTTTAATTTGGCAAAGCCATTATGATGGTAAGGAAGCATACAGAAAACAAAAATACCACCATTATTTGCTTATGGGCTGTTATAGTATAAGACTTGGGGTGAAATGTATATTTTGGTACAAGGATATTTAAAAATAAATGTGAGATTTGTAAATATGTTTAAAAAGATCCCTATGCGGAATATCTTTTTTTAGAATTACATTTCCAAAGGAGTCAAATACAGTATATTATTCTCAAACAAATCACCAGGTTCTTTTACACCAGTTACTATCCACTTCTCTTAGCCCATATGAGGGATCAACACAGAAAAGGTGGAACTGAGAGTTCTAATATTTGTTTCACAAAGGCTTTTCCCCTGTTTTGTGAAAGGATTGCCATGCATTAAGTAAAAACTGCACATAAGATAGTGAGTTCTACAGATTTACCTAAAACCGGGTACATATAAGCCACAAATCAGCCAAAAACAATCGGTTCAGCAGGAACCAGCTGAAGTTTGACTCATGTGTACAGCTCCTTGTCCGACAGAAGCCGGTCTCATGACAGGGAATGCTGGAAAACTGACATCCGGTCGGCATCTGATCAGTACTGGGAGTCAAATGCTGTGAGCTCTGATCCTGAACCTGCTGGGTTGAACAAAAAAAAAAAAAGGGGAAATCCTGATAAGATGCTTTCCATGTGGACCCATCATTATACACTTTGTTTTCACCATTGTTTTAACTGATTTAACTGATAGGAGATATGTAGTTCATATAATGGGAGATTTTAACTACCCTGAACTTACTGATGTAACAACTGTTGGCGCAGTAAAAGGGCAGAAAAATCTTACCAGACAAATGTATTGAACAGTTTATAGAAGCACCAGCTAGAAACAATGGTCTACTGGATCTGTTAACGCATAGGTTCACCTTTTTTAACCACTAGCCTACAGGGCACTTATACCCCTTTCCTGCCCAGGCCAATTTCCAGCTTTTAGCGCTGTTGCACTTTGACAATTGCGCGGTCATGCAACACTGTACCCATATGACATTTTTTGTGTGACAGATAGAGCTTTATTTTGGTGGCATTTAATCACCTCTGGGTTTTTTATTTTTTATTAAACAAACCAAAAACCACAGAAAATTGTGAAAAAAACAATTTTTTCTTAGTTTTTGTTATAAAATTTTGTAAATAAGTGATTTTTCTCCTTCACTGAAGTGCGATAATGAGGCTACAGTGATAGGCACTAATAGGCTGCACTGATGGACACTGATAGGTGGCACTGATGGGCACTGATGGGCACTGGTATGTGGCACTGATGGGCATTGACAGGCATCACTGATGGGCACTGAAAAGCAGAACTCATATATGGCACTGATAGGTGGCACTGATAGGTGGCACTGATAGGCGGCACTGACTGGCACTGATAGGTGGCACTGACTGGCACTGATAGGTGGCACTGATTGGCATTGACAGGTTGCACTGACTGGCACTGATGGGTGACACTGAAAGGCAGCTCAGATGGGCACTGATAAGTGGCATTGATGTGCACTGGTAGGCACTGAAATGTGGCACTGATGGGCACTGGCAGGTGGCAAGGATGAGCACTGACAGCTGGCATTGATGGACACTGACAGGTGGCACTGCTGGGGCTACACAGATCATTAGGGCACACTGATCATCAGTGCCCTAATGATCAGTGTGCATGTCCCCTCTGAGGGATGCTGATTACTGGCTCTCCTCTCCTCTCGAGATGTCAGCGTGACAGCTCGTGAGGAGAGAAATGCTGATAACCGGCATTTCCCTATTTACATGCGATCAGCTGTGATTGGACACAGCCGATCACATGACTGAGCCGACATCTTTGGCTCTTTCCGTTGATCAGTGATCCGCTGTGTCCAAGGGACACAGCGCACCGCCGATCACCGCACTGCGCGCTCCTGGAGCCGCGCATGCACGGTTAGAATGGGAGGACGTCATATGACGTCCTTCCAGAATGAGAGAACCGCCTTGTGCCCTTCATTGTACTATATGGCAGGCGGGAGGCGGTTAAACAAAAAAAATGAATGCACATATTTTTACAGGTAAAAAAAATATGCATTTCTTATGATTTTTTGAAAATTAGAAGTCTGTAAAAAATTGCACCCAGGATCAGCAGATCACGGGTGCAATATCAGGCTCCTGCAAACTGTATAGTATAGCTTTCTCGTACTGGCATGCAGCTATTGAATGACAGGAAGCATCAAAGAACTACCTACAGCAGTTTTTTGGGCGTCACACGTCCTTCAATTTTTTTTGCACAATCATGGCGCGTTTGTTGCACGGAAAAACATTTTGCAATCATTGCAAAAACACCTCTCATTTTAAGGTGACATTAAAATGAATGGCACCTGAACACGTGATTGCGCTTTGTCACATTTTCACAGCGTGTTTTCAAATTGCAGACAGAATCGTAGTGATTCTGTCTGCTATTTGAAATGCCCTAGTGTGAATGAAGCCTTAATCTGTATTTGTAACCTGCCCAGCAACAATGGCTAAAAGGAAAACATTCAAACAAATGCAAAATGCATAAAAAAGTAGCAAAAACACGCAAGCAAAAAGAACAAAATGCAAACTGCATTGGTTTTTGCATTTTTTGAGCCAGGCCTGAAATGCATCTAAAAAGCCACAAAAACACATAAAAACATGCACGTGTTACGTTTCTGATGTGTTTTGTGTTTTTAACCACTTGAGCTCCTGAGGATTTACCCCCCTTAATGACCAGGCCTCTTTTTGCTACTCGGCGCTGCACTAATTCAACTGATAATTGCGCGGTCATGCAATGCTGCTTCCAAATGAAATTTACGTCCTTTTTTTCACAAATAGAGCTTTCTTTCGGTGGTATTTGATCACCTGTGTGCTTTTTATTTTTCACGCTATAAAAAAGAATAACAATATTTTTTACTTTCAGCTATAAAAATATATAGTAAACTCAAAGTTAGTTATAAATTTAGGCCAAAATGTATTCTGCTACATGTTTTTGGTAAAAAAAAATCCCAATAAGTGTATATTGATTGCTTTGTGTGAAAATTATAGTGTCTACAAACTATGGTATAGATACTGCAATTTACGACATTTTTTTGCTATACAGCGCTGCGCTAGTTTAACGGACAACTGCGCGGTCATGCAATACGGTACATAAATGAAATTTATGTCCTTTTTTAACACAAATAGAGCATTCCTTTGGTGGTATTTGATCACCTGTGCACTTTTTATTTTTTTTTATAAAAAAAAAATAACCAGAAAAATTTTGAAGAAAAAATTTTTTTTTTTTTTTTTTTATTGAAAAAAAAAACAATATTTTCTCATTTTGGTCATAAAAAATATCTAAAAAAAACTAAAATGTTGTCATAAATTTAGGCCAAAATGTATTCTGCTACATGTTTTTGGTTAAAAAAAATCCCAATAAATGTATATTGATTGCTTTTTGTGAAAGTTATAGTGTCTACAAACTATGGTATAGATAATGGAATTTACATAGCTTTTACTTTCTGACTGCCCATTACATTTCTTGAGGTGCTAAAATACCAGGATAATACAAACACCCTCAAATGACCCCTTTTCGGAAATTAGACACCCTAAGCTATCTGCTGAGAGGCTTATTGAGTCCATGGAAGATTTATTTTTTCTAAAAGTTTCTGGAAAATGACAAAAACATTTTTTTTTTTTTACACAAAGTTGTCATTTAAATGATTTATTTCTCGCACAAGCCATGGGTATATGTGGAATTACACCCCAAAATACATTCTGCTACTTCTACTGAGTATGGGGATACCACATGTGTGAGACTTTTTTGGGAGCCTAGCCACATGCAGGAGCCTGAAATCCAATTACCAAATTGAAAGCCTGAAGGTGCGTAACTTCCTCATTACACTTCCTCACTACCTATCACAGTTTCAAAGGCCCTGACATGCCAGGATAGCCCCAAACCCCCCTAAATGACCCCTTTCTGGAAAGTAGACACCCCAAGGAATTTAAAAAGAGGCATGGTGAGTATTTTGCAGATCTAATTTTTTCTCACAGGGTTTTGAAATATAAAAAAAATATAAAAAATGTTTTTGTTTTTTTTTCTTCATTTTCCAAAAACTTGTGGCAACAAATGAGATCTGCAAAATACTTACCGTGCTTTTTATCAAATTCCTTGGGGCATCTACTTTCCAAACAGGGGTAATTTGGGGGGGTTAGGTGCTATCCTGTCATTTCAGGGCCTCCGAAACTTGTGATAGGTAGTCTGGAAGTGTAATGAGGAAATAAAGCCCTTTAAAAGCCTGAAGGTGCTTATTGGATTTTGGGGTCCTGTACTTGGCTAGACTGCCAAAAAATTAGAAATTTATGCCACACATCATTCACTCTTCTAACTACCTGAAGACCAAGCCTTTTTGTTCACATGAAAAAAATCTGTATTTTTTGCTAGGAAATTAATTTAAACCCCCAAATATTATATATTTTAATGTGAACGCTGGTATAGTGCTGATCAAAGATATTGACCCGTTCAGACACTATACTAGCAATGGAGGCTTATTGTACATGAGCGTGCTCCTGGCAATCAAGGGGTTAAATGTGATGACTGGTGTACTGATGGGCAATCTGACGCTATCTGGGAGTGGTGTGAAAACCACGGGGCACAAATCACGTATATATATATATATATATATATATATATATATGTGTGATTTTGCGTACTCATGCAGCCCTGTAGCAGTATTTCTGCTGTAGGGAGGTCAGGAAACGGTTACAAAAGAGGTTTGTGTTACGGTGCTGCATTACTTTAACTGACAATTGCGCAGTCATGCAACACTGCACCCAAATTAAATTTACATCCTTTTTTTCCCACAAATTGAGCTTTCTTTCGGTGGTATTTGATCGTCTGTGCGTTTTTAATTTTTTGCGCTATAAAAAAAAAGGCTGACAATTTTGAGAGAAAAAAACAATATTTTGGACTTTTTGCTAAAAAACATGTCCAGTAAAAAAAATAAAAAATCTAATTTTGTCACAAATTTCATCCAAAATGCATTCTGCGACATGTCTCTGCTAAAAAAAATCCCTATGCTAAAAATACGTGTAAATTAATTGGTTTACATGAAAGTTATAGCGTTTACAAATGGCGGGAAAGATACTGGGATTTTTATTTTTTTATACTAATAATGGCGGCGATCAGCGACTTATGGCAGGACTGCGGCGGACATTTTGACACTGGGGGGAACTGACTTGGGGTCACTAACATCCCCAGTGATACCAATACAGTGATCAGTTAAAAAAAAAACACTGACACTGTACTAATGGCACTGGGGAGGAAGGGGTTAACATTTTTGGGGGTTAACTGTGTGAGGGGAGTGTTTTACTAGGGGGCGGGGGTGTGTGCTGGACGGGACAGGCTGATCGAGAGAGAGAAACTCTTCTCTCCCTCTTCAGCTTGTCAGGAGCTGACAGGCAACTGACAGATAGCAGGGCTGTGTGTAAACAATGCAGCCCTGCCCTCTGTCAGTGATCACCGCTAATCGCGGGGAAAAGGCCGGTAATGACCGTCCGTAAGTCGGCGGCGGAGACCCGTTGCTGACACCCGCGGGACAGGTAGGGCGGTGCGCGCGCCCCCTACCTGTTTTGCGAAACCACGTTTTAAAACGTGGTTTTGCCCAGCCGTGCCGCCTTGCAATCGTTTTTATGCAGTGGCTGGGGATGAAGAAGTTAATCTGTCCCGCAACAAGCTGGCCAAAAAAAACCCTTCAAAATGCATCAAAAAGCGTCAAAGACGTGTGTGCAAAAACACAAAATGCATGGCAAAAGCACTGCAAAATGGACAAAACGCAAACTGCATTGGTGTGAACCAGGCCTGAAATGCATTGAAAATGCAGGAAAACGCATCAAAAACACACACATGCTATGGTGAATATGGTTAAACTGGAATAAAATATTGTAAACTGGAAAAAAGTGAATAACGTACCTGGATCAGAAGTCTTTCACCCTTGTGTCCTCAGAGAATTAAGGCCTGTTATATCTAAGCCAAATGTCCCCAGTTGTGGACATTGGGGCATGCTACACGTACACACACAGAAACACACCATTGTCCTTCTCCTCTCTCCTTCTGCTTCCCCTACATCATTTTCTGTAAAGGCAAGGGGTAAATGCTAGCACGGAAGAATGAAAATTCAGTTATTTTGTAGGTTGCTGTGTAGATATGCAGCTATTACAATAGCTGGTGTCAAAAAAGGACCTTCTGACATAGAGGGAGGTTTGTGGAAACAGAAACATAACCTCCTGCACTCAGAGACTCAGATCAGAATTCAGCGGGTTGAACTATTTATGAAAGTGCATCTGGTGGCAGATCAAAGGTTGTGCAGCTCTAACACAAGGCTGGGGAAGCCCAATAACAGCTGTAACAAAGAACAAATATAAAAGCACCAACCTTGCACATTACCTCATTCAGTAAAGGGTGAATTTATTAAACTAAGATATATACTCACAAAAGTAGCAATATTAAAAGCATATATAATTCAAACATCAGTGCACTGGGATAGCAGACATGTGAGGGTTCCATCTAGAGGGAAGACTCTCAGGATAAAGATGACGCATTTTGAAGGGTGATCCCTTCTTTCTCAGAGCTAGAGCTGTAGTTCTTTGTTTACCAAAACGGATGCATATAAAATCTGGTGCAGCTGTACATATCAACCAATCAGCTACTAACTTCAGCTTGTTCAGTTAAGCTTTGACAATAAAACCTGGAGTTTGGTTACTATGCCTAGATGCACCGGATTCAGGGGCGGACTGACCATTTGGAAACTCGGTCACTGCGCTAGGACCTGGGGTCAGTAGGGGGCCCCATGAGATGCCCCTGGTACCTTTTT